TTTCCTTTTTCTAACAATATAAATCTGCTGCTTTCTCACACTTGTTTCCATTGCAGTAGACTTTACTCTAGAAACATTTGCTTAAACTGCAGATTGATGTAGTGACCCTTAGTGTTTGTGTTATAGATTCTTCAGAAAAATAATTTCTTCCTCTTAACTTTTCTGTTATCTTTTAGATGTTATTTTTAAGAATTAATGCAAGTTACAAATTTCATTTAAAGAGACAGTTGGCCCAGCTAAATGTAGTCAATGACGGAGGACCTCAAAATGGGTATGTTACCATAAAATTATTTCTTAGTTTGGGGGTACAGATTTTGTTATAGCATAAAAAAGTTAATATGATAATTGTATTTCTTCCCCACTTTTGCACTAGATTTAATTTACTTAATCACAGACCCATCTGCCCCTGCGAGACCCCCTTTGCAATATTGTGTCCAACTTTGGTTCAGTAGTTCAAGAAATTCAGTGTTCAAGAAATTTGTAATTCAAGAAGAATAGTGACAAACTGGAGCAAGTTCAGAGGAGAGTTCCTGAGATGATGAATTAAAACCCTATGAGGAATTATTAAACATCTGGCTATGTTTTTATCTTAAAGAAAGTACAGGTGAAACTCGAAAAATTAGAATATCATGCAAAAGTTCATTTATTTCAGTAATGCAACTTAAAAGGTGAAAATAATATATGAGATAGACTCATTACATGCAAAGCAAGATAGTTCAAGCCGTAATGTGTCATAATTGAGGTGATTATGGCTTCCAGCTCATGAAAACCCCAAATCCACAATCTCAGAAAATTAGAATATTGTGAAAAGGTTCAATATTCTAGGCTCAAAGTGTCCCACTCGAATCAGCTAAAAAAGCCATAACACCTGCAAAGGGTTCCTGAGCCTTTAAATGGTCTCTCAGTCTGGTTCAGTAGAAATCACAATCGTGGGAAAGACTGCTGACCTGACAGTGGTGCAGAAAACCATCATTGACACCCTCCATAAGGAAAGAAAGCCTCAAAAGGTAATTGCAAAAGAAGTTGGATGTTCCCAAAGTGCTCTATCAAAGCACATTAATAGAAAGTTATGTGGAAGGGGAAAATGTGGAAGAAAAAGGTGCACAAGCAGCAGGGATGACTGCAGCCTGGAGAGGATTGTCAGGAAAAGGCCATTCAAAAGTGTTGGGGACTTTCACAAGGAGTGGACTGAGGCTGGAGTCAGTGCATCAAGAGCCACCACACACAGACGGATCCTGGACATGGGCTTCAAATGTTGTATTCCTCTTGTCAAGCTGCTCCTGAACAAATGTCAGAAGCGTCTTACCTGGGCTAAAGAAAAACAGAACTGGTCTGTTGCTTAGTGGTCCAAAGTCCTCTTTTCTGATGAGAGCAACTTTTGCATCTCATTTGGAAACCAAGGACCCAGAGTCTGGAGGATGAATGGAGAGGCACACACTGCAAGATGTTTGAACTCCAGTGTGACGTTTCCACAGTCTGTGTTGATTTGGGGAGCCATATCATCCGTTGGTGTTGGTCCACTGTGCTTCATTAAGTCCAGAGTCAACGCAGCCATCTACCAGGAGATTTTGCAGCACTTCATGCTTCCTTCTGTAGACGAGCTTTATGGGGATGCTGACTTCATTTTCCAGCAGGACTTGGCACCTGCCCATACTGCCAAAAGCACCAAAACCTGGTTCAATGACCATGGGATTTCTGTGCTTGATTGGCCAGCAAACTCGCCTGACCTGAACCCCATAGAGAATCTACGGGGCATTGCCAAGAGAAAGATGAGAGACATGAGACCGAACAATGCAGAAGAGCTGAAGGCTGCTATTGAAGCATCCTGGTCTTCCATAACACCTCAGCAGTGCCACAGGCTGATAGCTTCCATGCCACGCTGCATTGAGGCAGTAATTGCTGCAAAAGGGGCCCAAACCAAGTACTGAGTACATATGCATGCTTATACTTTTCAGAGGTCCGATATTGTTCTATGTACAATCCTTGTTTTATTGATTGCATGTAGTATTCTAATTTTCTGAGATTGTGGATTTGGGGTTTTCATGAGCTATAAGCCATCATCATCACAATTATGACAAATCACAGCTTGAACTATCTTTCTTTGCATGTAATGAGTCTCTCTGATATATTAGGTTCACCTTTTAAGTTGCATTACTGAAATAAATGAAATTTTGCACGCTATTCTACACCTGTATATTATATCAACCTTGAAATAGCTAAAAGGTTGTTACACAAGAGAGCAGGGGGGCTTACAAGGGATAGGACCAGACCTGTGATTAAACGTTAAGGAAGGAGGTTATAGAATCACGAGGAACTTCCTGATTGTGTCAGCCAGAGAATAAGTTGCCACATGATCTAGTGAGTTATCTCTTGCTAGAGATCTTCAAACCATGACTGTCCATCTCCAAGATACTCTAGTGTGGGGCTTTTTAAGTGGATGTGCAGATGTTCTAGAATTCTGGGAAGACTTGAATGCTTTCTCTGGGAGTAAAGGAGAAAAAAAGATCTCTACAAAGGATTAAGTCTGTTATGCAAAACGTTTTACCACCACCGCCCCATCACAGGGGAACAGAGCAGCTGGAGCGACTCGGGTACACTCCAATATTTGTTCCCACATTAAAATGGCTCTTCTCCCTCACCTGCTATGAAACCAGCATTTCCACGCACTCTGGTAAAGAGGTAATTGCCTGTCTTTCCCTTGCTGTCACCTATACCATGTCTTCTTAAGTGCACATACACAGCTCCTATGCTATTGGGTTGCACTGCATAATCTATATTAGGCTATGTGAGAACTAATAAACGGGAAAGAAGCTGAAAATAAATTTGGATATCACTTCTTAAAATTACAAAAGTCTTTATAACAATGAGTTGGAATACAGTATAGGGGTAGGGGGAAATCAAAGGAGGTAGTCATGGGCTTTGCTGATGGAATACGTCTATGTGCCATTTATCTGTCTGTTGCAGCCTCCCAGAGTTAAAAAGAGCTGTCTGGAGTAACATTTATTTTTTGTGGTAAATAAAAAGTCTGCATTCTTTGGACTAGAATTAGGGTCTTACTGATACTTGCAGCTGTATCTCGCATATTCCACTGTTATGCAGTCTGAAGATGCTAACAATTGGAGGCATCCATCTACAGCCAGGTGCATGTGTTATACTGTGCTTGATGGGGTTTTGTGAGACTGGTGTGGTGGTGGTTCACTCATGCAAACCCATTTTTTTTATCAATAGAGATTTAGCTCTTGATTAAGGATTCCAAGATTATTTTTTTAAAGTAACAGGTTTCACATCTATGTTCATTTTTAACTGATTATATATTGCTACTTATATTTTACTGGTATTATTTCTTCCATAGATGCAAATAAAACAGGGAAATTTCCTCTGTATTTCAATATGATTACCGATAATATTGTAATTAAATAGTACTTTCAAAAATTTTATACGTTTGAATGCATAAATGTATACTTTCAAAAAATGCTAAAATTCATTTTTTTTCTATCTTGAAACCACACGTGTAAAATGCATGAGTTGAGGTTGGGAGGATTGCAGTAGTTGATAAAAAGTGGGTTTGGGTAGAAAAATTAGCCAAGTAATAAAATGGACTCACAACTCTTTAATATTTTCCTTAAAAACTTTCTGCTAAGAACGTGACCAACAGAAGGCGATGCTGTCTGTTTACTTAAGTGCTTTATATTCTAAGTTTCCAGTATAAAAAAAGAACAAGATATTAGGCTTAGAACTAATGGATTAACTCTCAACATATTTTAAATGGCATCAGTGTCAACAAGGTTTGAAAATGTATTTCCTGAATGTTTATTTCTGTTCTGCATAGATTGGTTACAGCTGATGTAGCTTTTTACACTGGAAACCTCCAAGCACTGAAAGGGCTTCAGACTCTAGATTTAAACATGGCTGAAATCTGGGAACAGAAGAGGTGACTAACAACTTGCCACTTCACGTTGGAATGATTTCTTCTTTGCAGAAGATGGATTCTTGCAAACTGAAGAAGAAACTGTCTTGAAATATGTTAGAACGTAGCTGTAGGAATGATTTGGGGAGAATCCCTTTTGCAAGAAAAGCAACAGCAGTTCTTTGCGCAGTTTCTTCATTCTATCTGGAACCAGACTCAGGTTTCTTTGGACCAAATCCAAGAGTTCATAGCTGTAACACAGCTGTTGTCTAGAGAGTGCTCTGTAAATCTTTATATTAAAAAGATGCTCTGCATTTCCTCTAGTGCAATGAAATTCATGTGATGTCTCACCTTATTTAATGATGGTACAGTTTGAAAATTCTTGCTGTTGAAATCTTGAGAATGTTTTCACTATAAAAGTATACTGTTAAAATTATTTTTTTACAGATGTTTCTATAAATTCTTAATTACCTACATAACTTTGGATTTGTTAAGGTGCATTCACGTTCCAAAGTATTTTTTTTCAATTGAATGACGTACTCTCATCAGGAAACAATATTTGAAATATTTCCTGTATCTTAAAATGAAGTTGCAAAGCTTGCCCAGTTCTCATAAGGGCAAACTGGAAAGGTAGTTCAAGCATATATTGTTTATTTAAGGAGGGTGATTATAACAGCATAAATTGGCCAGTTTCCGTGCAACATTTACCTCCAAGTTTTTCCCACCCACACCCCAATTAAAATATTTCAAGGGTGCATAGAAATAAATACCCATTAAAGCAACAGTATAAGGGGTATTAATTTATAACATTTTTAACGCTTTCAGGCTGGTACCTGCCTGTTATAAAGTAATAAAGTGCCTGTGTATTTCACCTCACAGCATTTTTATCTAAATCCAGTGAGTGCCTACTCTTGTGATGATTATGTACAACAATAGTCTACCATGTTTTGTGTGCCTATGGTTTTTTTCAAACAGGCATGCCTATCTGTTAACATTAGCAGAAATCACTGTCAATCAAAATAAAACTGTTAAAATGAATTGTTTAACTTATTTCCTAACATCATTACCAACAAAAACCGATATCCAGACTGGGGACGTGATATTCTTTATTTCAGTACCTGTACAGATGTGGAATTCATTTCCTCCTTTGTCTCAACACATTTTATTCTGTTAATATGAATATAATGAAGAAGGTAATCTGTTGAGTATTTAAAAGTAAACTAATGTTTTAAGTAGTAACATTATAGAAGCGAGATGAAAAACAATTATTCAAATGTTTCAGGTACCTTTTCTTTGGGTAAACAGGAGAAAACAGTCCAACTGAGGTTCTGAACCACCTTGTGAAGGGAGTGAGTTACTGTGAATAGCAGAGTTTGAAGGCAAATAATATTCTAGACATACCTGCTATAGTAGCAAAAAGTACTTCATAATGTAGGTGTATTTAATAGTTAACAGCATATTATTTCACAGTTTTTTCTGTTACAAGCAGTTCAAAAATCATTGAGTATCAGCAATATTGCACTTTAGATTATATTAATTGAATTACTGAGTTATTTAGATGTCTTTTTTAGTTTTCTCAGTTAAAAAGGGATTACAGAAATAATACTGTAAGAACAGAAGAGTGATTGTATACAAATCTTAATGCCTATATAGTCTTCCATTTGTGAAACTATATTATATGAAATTCATAGCAGCTCAGTGGTCTAGAATCCGAAGATTGCCCGAGACTATTTTGTTCTCCAGAACCGCTCCAGGGGGGATGTCAATCCTGTCACCATGATTTGCAATAATTATGACAGTTCCCTATGTATATAAAAAATAGGAAAATTCCAGTGAGCTGCCTCAAGATAACATTCTAAGTTTAAGTTTACATTTCATTAATTCTGAAGCAATCATATTTCATAAAGTACTGATATTAAACTACTTACATTTATTCTGCAACATCTAACAAAAACACATGGTTTCATTAAAGAAATTCCAACCATATGCATTAATTTCCTGTTTCACTAGAACTGTCATTTATATTTGAGAAATGTGTATTGCAGCCTCAAGATGTTTTCTAAAATTAGCAGAATTAGATCAGAATAGCTTTGAAGGCATATATCTGAATCCAAGATTGTGGTTTACTACAGAGACAATCATTTTTATAGCAGGAAAGATTTTATGTCCCCCAACCAAACTGCACAAGGAAATATTCTTGGCTGTTAATTGCCAGCCAAGTTTTCCCTTGGGGCTCTGTTCCTGAGGGATGGACTTCTGCATCTTCGAGAAATCAACTGCCTGTTCTGAAGCGGCTTACAGCAGGCATATCTGATGAGAACCACTGATGCAGAACTTACAGGTTTTAAACTTTTTTTTTCTTATTAAATCTTCGTGTTTTCTGAAATTCTGAACTACTTCTTTCTGAACCCCAACTAAAATATCTCTGGGATTGATTACTTTTTTCTACATCTAAGAGGACTGTTTACATAATTACTTCTGTACACTGCTTTTTGTGTTCCTCTTTTTTAATTGCTCAGTGTTTCACTCTTTCTTCCAGTAAAATTCACAACTGAAAATTTACAACAGCTAATTTGAAAAAGGACGTTCCATACAGCAAGTGCTGTTGTTATCCTTTCTTCAAAATGCAAAGAGAACACTGCTTTAATTTAAAACTATAGACAATGCCATTATACCATCACAGGCACTGGCAAGTCTTAACAGAGCCATGGGAGCACTGGTCCATTACCTTTTAACTAAGAAATGAAGGTCATATGTTTTTTAAGAGGTCTATGGGCAATTTGCCACAGCCAACTCGCTGCAGGACAATTTGCTGTGGGACAAGATTTACACTAATATCAAAGAAATAATGGGATACAATCATTTTTAAAAAAGCATGCAAAAGGAGGTACAGAATGAAATGTGAATTGCAAAAATTAAAGTAATTATTTTAAATAGTTAAATAGAATTATTAAATTGTCTTGCAGCAAACTGCCCCACAGCGAGTTGGCCATGGTGAGTTGTCCCATTCCATATAAAAAGTTCCACTGAACCCTAAAAGGCACATGTTTGAACAAGTACCTGGGGTATATACTACATTATTCAGGGGCAACATGCTCTTATTTCTCAGGTTGCTCTGAATGGTCAGAAGGGTTCTGCAGCAAGTACTGCATGGCATGGGGCCAAGTTATTTGAGGCAGCTCCTCTGCCCAGCTACTTCTACTTGTCCTAACCGAGCTGGCAGGAGAGGCATGCTATGAATCCATTTACAAAGGAATGTCATCCGAAGGATACGGGAGGAAAGCCTTTTCTGCCACAGCATCCGCTCTCATTACCCCTGGGGTTAGCGGCCCTGATGCTGCTGGGGCCTTTCAAGAGGCTATCAAGACAGGACTTCGTCATCACTGGGGATCCAGTATTGGGGAGCAGATAATTGGGATCCAATTGTACTGTAAAATCATTGTATGGGTTGCACTCTCCCACAAATTTAAGTTTTAATTTTTTCTTTGTTTCCTGTTTTTAAGTATGTGAGCTGCCCAGACTCACCTATGTGAAGTGAACTGCTGTATACATTGAATAAATAAGCAAGCCTATTTTTTTCTAGAAAAATAGTATGTACTATTTTTCAGTATGTACCAGCTACTTTGAAACTTTCTGGAGCCAAGACATGGCACAATTCCTCTATGAAGCAAAGTTAAATTTACTGTAGGTGTCAATTACAAGCAGCAGGAAAGTAGAAACTAGCTTCCTGGAAAAACTACTTCAGGTAGCAAAATATGTTCCTAACACCGCTCTCTTTAGATGCAGAATTTACAAAGATCAAAATAGAAATGTGACTTAAGTGCTCTCAAATTGTGGTTAAAAGCTTGCACTCAGAGCCCCAATAATTATCCAATCAGATAATTACTCTTGGAATATTACCTACAGTAAATCTCAATCAAATGAGATGCCGATGCACTTGGAACAGTTCATGATATAGAATTTTAAAAAGGGTTATACCAAGATGTTTTTACAGCTAAATTGGGGCAGACCTAATTCTATTTTAAGTCACCATTGCATTTGACCCAATTTACAAATGACAAATTTTTGAAGCCCTACACACTATTTCATTTAAGGTCTTAACCATCAGCAATGATGGAGGGTAAGAATCCCAAAATTCCTGTGGAGACTGATTCTTGAGGGAGAGGAGGAACAGCCAACAGGGAGTGGAAGTGTGGCTCCGGAGGTTGTGGAGGAGGCTGTGGAAGGGCAGAGCAGTCGGAGGAGGACCCAGGCCCATCCGCTATCTATCCTAGGGCACAGAGGGAGGAGAGGATAAGGTAGAGATGTGGTCTCCTCGGGAGGAGAGGGCCTTGATCCTTTTCATGGGCTGCAGGTGTGACAACTGAATAAGAGTTTGGACCTGCGTACTGGCAAACGCTGCAAACAAAGCGTGTAAATATCTCTATAGTTCCTGAGTTTGGCGTCCTTCCCAGTGTGTTATCTGTGGACATCCTCCAGCCCTTATCTTGCCTGGTTTGTATTGCTTTTTTCCTTCTTTGTGTAACTGTTTGTGTGGGAGTTTTTTTGTCTTCCGTCAAAGATATTCAGAGCTTGGAAGCGAAGTGAAGGAATAAAAGGGGCATCACCTGTTTTCTGTGATGGTGTTTGTTTTGTATCCCACTCTGGGTGATCACAATTCCCTTTGTGAAAAAAACTCTGTCCCCAAAAAGATGGGAATCAAAGCATCATAAGCTGCTATGTTGCAATTTTTACTTAGATGCCCACAATGAGCTATTAGCACCTCTTCTTAGTCCATTTCATACAGAAGAATTATTCTTTTGGCTATTTGCTGTTGGAACAGTTTTATTTAGCCTATAGAATGTCTGCATTGTTGACAGCATGGTACAGAAGGCTACAGGCAGTTTTAGCATATCAGCAACACTAATTTGTATTACATCTTGTATTTTTTAATCACGTCTGACCCATAAAAATGTTTTAAAACTATTCTAGTGCAATTATATAATTAAGAATGTTGTTAATTTGGAAATACTTGCTTTTGGTTTATTTGTTTGCTTCAAGCAGATACATGCTACTCAACTTGTCTAAACTAATTCTGATTCCATTTTTACATTCTTCAAATCCTTTAATTCTTTTTTTTTAACTACAAGAATAAAGAATGTTTATTTTAAGGAAATGTTCAGTTGAAATGGTATGAACATATTGAATGGAATTCAGTTCTTAATTTGTGAATCTACCATTTAGTATCTGTAGAGTTTGGTATGTTCAAAAGTTTTGTTTATGTCCATTTCCTTCAAACTGGATAATTTGTCTATATATCTGTTATTAAGTATATTGAGTTTTATTATTTCTTACTTTTAATATTTTAATTAGCTCTGATTGATTTTAATGAAGAAAAATTCTAGCATGAGATATTTTACATTTTTCAGAATATATAATGGAGGACAATCCAAACTGGGAGAAGCCCAGCATCATTCCTCTGCTTCATACAATGGAAGATAATTGTTCTTAATTAATTCAATAATATTTGGAAACAAAATTTTATTCTGTCAAGCCTGACATTAATGACAGACACAATAACTTAACAACCCAAGTAGATAATCAGGTTAAAAAAATTAAAGAATTGCAGAGAAGACATCTGCAACTGAGTTTAGAAGTCTTCAGGCACCTAAACAAATCGGATGCTAAATGGGAACAAGCAGAAGTAGATTTACATAAAAACAGCTTAAAATTTCAGAGGTAATATGGGGAGATCTAGAAATGGAAAATCTACTTAAATCTTATTTTAACCAGCTCTTAAATGAAACTTATTTCTTTGCTTGCATACATATGCAGAGACAGCACAAAACAGCTTTTGAACCAGCTGTGCAAACTCACAAACCATTTGACTACTTTAACAGCTTAAAGTGAAGTGCTTCATGTGCACTTGCCGTTTTGCACAAGAGTACTTCTGACAGTTCTGTACAATTCTATTTAAGTAATTTAAAATATACGATTAATTTTAAGTAATCAACCGGATGCCCAATAGCAAATGGATATTGCAAGAATGCATTGATGACTTCTAAAGACATTGGCAGATTATGTCAAAAAGTATTGCTTGAGAATGCAGTATTTCAAGTATATAAAAGTTTGGGGTTGTTTTAAAATTTTAATCATATTGACCAACCTTTAATGCAACATGTTTCCCAAACGTGACATCGCCTGAAACAGTTAGATGATCCAGTTCAAGCATATCTGGGATACTTTCAAACCTCCTCAGAAAATCTTGAACCTTAAAAAAAATAAGAATGTAAAGTCAGGTTCAGTATTTATGAAACTCACAATATGTATTCAAAGAATTGTACCGCAAACCATAGTGCAAAGTTGTTAATTTGGAAAACACAAGCCCCAAGGAAGTGTCATAACTTTTGAATCTGGAACACAGCTTGATCTGCAATTCATTGAGGGCCGTATAGTGGTTCACTACTATAGCTGTAACTTTTAAGTTAAAAGTTTAGTATTTCATATAGCTCTCTTTAATTGTTCTCCTTGTTCTGATCCACATCTGATTACGTGATGATTACATTTAATTAAGTTATTTTATTCACCTTAGCTAAATTGTATTTGTATCTCACCTTCATGTTTTTACAAACAACTCAAAGACAGCAAATATATCCCATTTTTCCCACAGTAACAATCCTATGATGTGCCTTGGGCTGAGAGAGAGTGACTAGCCCAAAGTCATCCACCTGGCTTCCATGGCTAAGGCAGGACTAGAACTCACCATCTCACTGTTTCAAGTCTGGTGCCTGAACCATTAGACCAAGTTGGCTTTTGTCTGAATGGGAAAGTTGAGTGATTTAAGGAAGGCAAAACTATAATGAACAGGTAAAGAGGGACGGGAATACTCTTTATAATGTTTAAGAATTTATTAAAATGATAACCCTAATTTAAAAAACTTCAAAAAAACAACCCTATTAGAATGAGTGTGGGAAGGCACAAATGTTACCCTTCAGCCCCTAAATACACACTTTTAAAAGCTTTAGAATGCCAGGATAACTGTGAAGGATCAGTGGCCTCAACTTGGTCTTGCAATCTTCTGGAAGATTGCAAGATGCTACTACTCACTGGAAGGACCAGAGATGCTGGTTTTGGTTTTGGGGGAGGAACAATGAAATGGCATGGAAAGGGGAAACTTCTGGGAGGAATCTGCTACCACATTCTTAACATTTTCTAAATCAGGCCCAAATCTAATATATTCAGAGACAGCTGGGGATCACCATGTGTTGCCCGATCATTTTTAAAGTGGCTTACTTGTGCTTGAAGTATTTAAAATCTGACTGCAATAAACTGGTCTGGAGGTTATCACGCAACAGTTAACCCAAGGTAGGTAAATAATTTTCCCAAGAGGCCACTGGTGAGAAACTCGGGCTGTTGTAGAAGGCCTCCTCCTCTGTTACTGCAAGCCAGACAGGGACAGTGAAAAGGCCAGAGGTGGCCTTTAAAATGTCCAGGTTTAGATTAACTAAATTTTGTAAGGCCACCAGAGTCATATAAATGGTCTAGAAATTAACTTTTTAAATAACAATTCACACACACACATACACACACACAAAACAAGAAGCAACAAAATTGTTATGAGCAGTAACATATTGTAATAGATGCAAATTGGCCTATTGCACTAATCAATATGTAGATTGCAGAATTAGTTCTTTATATGACAATTACACTTTCACAAAACTTTTCCAATCAGATTAATCACAATCTTTAATCTTACTATTGTATTTTAATCTACTCAGAGTACTGTTAGCCACTCAAAGAGTCTCAGGATATAGCCAAATAAAGAAATAAGCATGTTACATGCAATAACTTAGATGATGCTTCAGTAACTGACCTCAAACACTAGTTTTGTACTGCTAGTGCTAGAATGACTTGATAAAAATAGGTAGCAACTGATGGATAATCACATGTAGAGAACATTTTAGGATACTATCAGTCTTACTCCTATTCGCTTAAGAGTAATTAGCAAAAGCTATTTTTACTATCGTATAGACTGAATGTCTGCTTCCAAAGATAATCTTTCAAAATTCAATAATTATGTGTACCTTGGTGAAAGAGCTCCCCAACTTGACCAGTGGCACAGAAGGAAATTCCCGTTTCTCACTCATTGTTAGAGACCCAGCATTAAGGCTGTACAGGTTAGACATCACAAGTAGAAGATCAGACGTGGTCTTGACAGGCAAGAAACGGCTACGGGGAACATTTATTCCCAAAGAGTTCTCAAAACTTTTAATAGCAGCACCAACCGCAGTCTCCAGTTGAATAACATTTAGACCACCATCTAAAGTCTGGAAGAGAAAGTGTTCAAGATCATGGGATATGCTAAGCTATCTGAGTTTTACAGATTCGATTCAATTCAAGTGAGCTTAGAAACTTAAGGTTTGCTAAGCCTGAAATAAAAAGAGAGTTTAAACAGTACATACACAAGATATTTTCTTCACCCGCCAATTATTTGGGAAATGGGAAGCCAAGTTTTATCTTACATGTTCCTGTCTGCCTCAGTTCTCCAAACAAGCAAGGAATGTAAGTTAGAACTTATAGTTTCATGATTAAGTGTTGACAGGAACATGAAAATGAGCATAATTTCCCATTATGTTATCCTAAAGAGATGAAAATATTCCCTAAAGATTATTTTGTGATCTATAAAATGAAAATGATACATTTAAAAAGATAGGTTTATCTGAGAAATGTTAAATGTGAATTTTACATAAAAGATAATAAGTATTCCTCCAAGAATAATATACACTAATATTATAGAAACACTAATGATTATCAATGTGCTCTTGAAATACTTTTCCAGATTGATCTGATATACTTATAAATTCCTCACAAATACTATTTTGAAGACAGGAGATCCATAAATGTAAATAGAGTTTGAAATACCTCTCTAGCCGATTAGCTCAAGAGAATTCATAATGTTATTCTTACCACTTCAATTATTTACAGGCTTACCTTTGGATTTACAATAATTTCCATATCAATAGCATTCTGTTCCTGCAGCCTTTTAATTGCAGATAGTGAAACCCACAGGTTGTTTGTGTTGAATATTTTGAATTTTGAAACAGATTTGAATTCATCAACATGTGCTTTTGGCACCTGAGCGATTTCAACTAGCCTCAGTTTGTTTTCATACTGTGTAAGCGTACCACCCTGCAAAAGTAAAGAAGGCCTTTATTAAATAGAAATCTGTCACAGTGCCTAAACAAATGGCTAAAGAAATTTATGGCTTTGGTCACAATTATTTGATACTACTGGTTTCAGTGAGATCTAATTGCAATTACTTTAGCTTTAGAAGCCCACATATATTTTGCCATGGCATAATTTAGTCCACTGTTGTAATAGATTTAATACTGGACAAAAAGTTGCTTTTATTTTTCTCACAGCAACGTAATATAATCTTTATATAGCTTTTTGGAACTATATTGTATTAAATTCAATGGGATTAATTTCCCACACTGTTCTCCTTTATGCGCTCTTTATACAATATTCAGAAGCAGGATACTACATCTTAAGAGGCACTGTAACTGCATGCATGCATACTTTTGCTTTTTAAAAATAACACTTTTTTTAAAAAAAAACATATCTATCTTGGAAGTCGTCTGAAGAGCAATTTAAAAAAATAATTTTTATCAGGAATTTTCCTAATTAACATCCTCTCAAATTATGTCTTTTGTGATAAATACCTAGGAGAACCTCAATGGAATACAAAATAAAAAGGCAAAAGTAGTCGGTTTCCAGCAATATAGAACTCTAAATGCATAATGTACAGAATCAATCTCAGCAGTGGAGGAAGGTAGAAAAAGGATTAGCATTTCCAGAGTGGGAATGTAACTGATGTGTAAGAATGGGTCTTGCTTCCTGCCACAAGAAGTAGTCTGCAGATCTGTTTCACGGACCAAGGATGAGGTGGGAAAAATAAATTTCTAGAGGACCAATGTGTTGCAAATGGGGAATATAGCAATCCTTGTCATTAAACTCAAGTATAGATATTTTATATACAATGAAATCAACTGAATCAAATGTTTTTACCTTCACATCTGCCCTTGTTTTATTGGTGACCTCCATAACAAATTCACATCTTTTTCCATTTGGTGAATTCATGAGATGATTGAGAATATAGAGATCAACAGTAGCCCCAAGATTATCTATGTTGGACACAAAAATATATTCCTTCCCATCTTCAATAAAAGTATCTAGCAATCCAGAATTATAGAAACTTGCATAGATGTCTCCATGGCCAGGAGGATACCAAGCCTCTGTGTTCTCTCCTGTGTAAGATACATCTTTTGCTACTGGAAGTAAAGACTCCTTATTAATTCGAGGATACCTGGAAAAAAATTAAGCCCTCAGAGTAGCAGTTGAAACAGTAGATGAGGCAGCACTGAATCAATTCAATGTCTGAAGGGAACATCAATCATTAATTACTTTATTATAGCATGTTTATGAAACAAAAAGCTCATATTTAGTTTATAATTGAGAATGGTAATTTTAAAAAGGAATTTAAAATACATACAGGTCTAGAGTTACTAAAATATCTGGGAAAAGCTGGTTTTCCATGGAAGAACTTATAACCAAGCTCTTCAAATATCACAGAAAGCTAAGGGAAACCACGTGGGAGAAAATGATCTCAGCTATCAATTTAGCTGAAATAATAAAACTGTAACACCAAAATATAATGAATACACAGCATTATTATTATTTTCTGACCAAATGCAGCTTTTCACATGAGGGGACGGTGCATTAGAAAACAGAATCCATAAACATAAAGAGAAGAATTGTCTCAAAACACTCATTCTCTCACCTACATCTCATTTACAATTCTATTCATTGTAGTTATGTAACAATCTTCTTTGTAATTTAAAAATTAATTCTTAAAGCCTACATAGCAGTTTGAAGATTTTTACTGCTACTATTTACATAAGAATTGACTGGCCTCCTTAAATGCTATTTCTTCTGCAACTACATAACTTTTATTATAAGAGCTGCTGTGGTGCAGTGGTTAGAATGCAGTACTGCAGACTACTTCTGCTGACTGCTGGCTGCCTGCAATTTGGCAGTTCGATTCTCACTGGCTCAAGGTTGACTCAGCCTTCCATCCTTCCACGTTTGGTAAAATGAGGACCCAGATTGTTGGGGGCAATATGCTGACTCTGTAAACTGCTTAGAGTGGGCTGTAAAGCATTGTAAAATGGTATATAAGCCTAAAAGTTTTTGCTAAGCTATTGTGCTATTATTAAAATTGAACTTTAAATACCTGCTTTGATTAAAAGTGTAGATTTTCACACCACTGTGGCTGTATTTCTGCAAGATTTTTTTCGTATCTTCATCAGTGTTGAAGGAATTCATCAGAACTAGAGGAACATCTGTATTGTAAGTCTTATTTAGATGCTACAAAAATAAAATATTATTTTAAACATTTCACTAACATTAAAGATATCTAATGTTCAAGAATTATTAAACATGTGTATTTTCAATACAACAGTCAGCCAACAGGAAAAAAAAACCACACAGGCTTCTAATTCAAACAACAGTTAAGATGTTAAAACAATTCCTATAAAAATATGTGCTAAATATAACCCTCATATTCCAGTTTTTTACTGGATCAAAATTATTCTTTTACTTTGGATCACAGTAAATAAATATAGTTAAAATATGGTCCAAAAATTTAATTATCTAAGATATTATCAATCAATCAAGAGCTTTGATTAGAAATAGTGATGGTTAACACTGTAAAAAATAAATGAATCCCTTATGCCAAAAATTCAGTTTGAATCATCACTAAATATATTCTTACTAAATATACTAACTGCAAGGTTCTTTGAAAAATCTGTCTCATAAAATGAAAATGAAGATCCTGCAGGAGACAAATGACTTAAACTAGCACTTAGTGTCTTACCATGTTTATATGCTAAGTGCTTTTCACATTACCAATGTAGGGAACAGGCAACTTTACCAACACATAAATCAGAGATGGAGTTATTTTGTGATGCAGTTCGATTGTTATGTAGTGAACAAGCTAGAAGTCTTTATTCAGTGGCAATTTTTCTTTTGAAGATCTGCAACCATTTAAAAATATTTGGGAAGATGGATGATTAGCTACATATGCATAGAACATATGCACACACACTAGCGTAACTGGAATTGATTGGTATGGAAAGCATCACTTGTTTGTGCATCAGGCAGTAATGATCAAAAATATTACATCTACTGGGCCCACTATGAAGGGAAGACAGGGTATTGATTAGATTCTCATCTGGTGGGACCACAAAAAAGGGCCTTCTTGATGGTGGCTCTTTCTTTATGGAACGTCTTTTCCCCCAAGGTATGGTTGGCCCCACCACACTGTTGCTTTTCATGGGCCTGGTCAGTGGGCCTGGTAATCACAAATGGATCAAGTAGCTGATTTAATTGTACTGTTGTTGTCCGGGGGGGGGGGGGGGGGGGGGTGTTGAAGTGGGTTTTTTATTTATAATGGAATTTTAAAATGTTATAACCCACCCAAAGTCACCTATGTATCATCAAGATGGCTATGTAAATTTGTTTAATAAATAAATAAATTAGTGCATGCCACTTAATTGCCATTAACCACTTATAAGGAAATTCATTTTCATCAGCTGCAAAGAATTGTTGGGTTTGGTCATGCAAAGATATAATATTGGAATATCATAATGGGGAATAGCTCTCCTAGTGAGGTGGTACAAACTGTAAGTGTTAGAATATAGTTTTGAAAATGGACAAGGAAAAATATGTTGTAGAACAAAACTGCCCAGAGTCACACAATTGTGAGATAGGCAGCATATAAATTTAAGAAATAAAAAATAATAAGTTGTATCTTATAATACCATCTCATCCATTTTTGTCAAGAGAGAGAATGAAACACTGCCGTTCATTAGGCATACTTTGTCCTGGGCAGATAATTAGTGGCATTGTCTAGAATAGCCTTTTACTATTTTTAGTCTTCACCAATTTGTCTTTATCAATTCTGTCTTCAATGTTTATAATAAATGTTAACCTGCCTGGTTTCATTCATATTTTAGTCACATCCAAATTCAAACTACATTACTGCAAAAATGTGTTCATTGGGACGTGCTACTGAACATACAAAGATTGGTCCCAAATATATCAATCAGACCGGAAGACGTGGCTTTTTCTATGGTAGTTTCCTGATTCAGAAATGTTCTCAATCATCTAACATTGATAAGCACCCTCTCCTATCACTTCTTGTGTTTCGGCCCAAGAAACTTTGCCTCAGAAAATAGAGGAACACATACATGAAGTATTTCACCCCACTCTTCAACCCACAGCTTATAAATTACAAAGGAACTGGGGACGGAGAGTAGTAGAATGAAAAACCAAGTTCATGTTCTTAGTTATAAAATTAGAATTGTTTACTGAATAAAACCTTTCAATGCATAAATAGCTATCCCTAATTAGGAAGAATGGCAAATATAATCCAAGTTTATGGAAACTGCAGAGAGCAACTACTGTATCTGAAGAGGAATTTCCTTTCTTCCTTGTAAAGAATGTCTTTCCTAACTTGATGCATGTGACAATATATGTACATTATCTAAAGTTATGTTTCCTGTTTTGAAAATACTTTTATCTGTATGGAAAACTGAAATATCTTCAACCTACAAATATTTTGTAACATAAAATATAAATTATTTATTTGTAAGCTGGCTCACATATTCTCCAGTATGAGGTCAGGACATAAATTCAGTCTGGTGTGGTGGTTAAGGCTGGAAACAGAGAGACTACGAGTTTTAGTCCAACATTAGGTAAGAAGCCAATTGGATGACCCTGGGCAGTCACTCTGTCTCAGCCAAGGAAATAGGCAACTTGCCAAGAAAACAGCAAGGACTGGCTGGAAGGCACTACATGCATACAAAAGCAACATTTATACATCAAAAGTTTAAACAGCAAATTCAGTAAGAAAACGTCAAATGAACCCTAGTTTCTGATTAAAAGTTTTATAGCATTTACTTAGCACTTAAAAACTGCCAAAGATATCAAGAAAGCAAAGAAAATAGGAAATATACAGTGACTGAAGCTTTAACTAAGTCTTTGCCATCAACTTGACTTCTAAGGGAGGGCATTTTTAATATTAAAAAAAACTTTACCGTAATTCTAAAGGGCCAGGAGGATTGAAGGCTTTCACAAAAATGCCAAAGATGCTGTCACAATGCAAGTTGTGCCATTTTCTAATGTGTATGCAATGCTGTGATATATATACAAAAGAGGTAAATTGGGCTGCAAAAGTGTAAGTCATCATTTACTCCTCCCTCATCACAAACAAGATTTTTTTTTAGCTCAACACACTGAAATTAATTGAAAATTGACAAGATGGCTCACCTACTAGAATTGGTGCCAGTAACTGTCATGCTTTGGTTTTTGAACTAATTCAGCTTTATTATTGTAGCCTCATAACAATCAAGCCTGGACAGCATACTTTTCTCACAAGCCACTTTCCCTCCACCCCCACCTACCCCCCTTTTGGGACACTACAGACTTGAAAAGCATACATTGTATTTGAAACTAATGCCTTTCAAATAATAATTACAATTGGAACAAATGAAACTAACATATGAATTGAACCCTAGCACTTTTTAAATGTTCCTTAAATAAAGGGTTCCTTGTGATTACAAGGTCCGTTCACCGACATACTTCATATGATCATTGTGAATGAAAGAATATCTATACAATCTACTATCTACAAAACATACAATCTACTAACTGCAAAACATACAATCTGCTATCTACATACAATCTACTGTATCTACAAAATACAATCTACTATCTATCTATTCCAATTACAAACGTCTCATTGCTCCTTGTCTACATAGAGCACTCAAATTACCACTCAACCCACAATCCACTTTAAAATGCAATCATTGGAATGTGATTCTGCAAGTTTGTTTGTGCTTTGAAGATCCAATCTGCAAAATTTCATATAACTGCTGATTGCGGGCAATAAAACAGAAAAAGACTACATTCTTACAATCAAATTGGACATGGCATGGAATGGACAGCAGGATCAACAATATATTTCAAGTTTTATTTTTTTTTACAACCTGAGAAACAGCCAAAACTTAAACATTTTCCAAAACCTCTCAGACCAATGCTATCCTCGACATAAGCAACACTACCTCAAGTTCATGATGGCATGAAAAGTCATCCCGCGTCTACCATAAACTTCTTGGTATTGCTACTTTAATAACCTTCTGCCAAATGGATTAATAAGTAGTAGTGTAAAAAAAACATTACTATTTGCCTCTAGCACCAATTAATGTTTCATAGGGGCACATTGGGATTAATGGCTATTGGTATCGATAGCAGAGTGACTGCTTCTAAAGCCATCTGCTCAGAGACTAGTGGAATTCCTTGCGCAGTTGGCTGGCCATGGTGAGAACAGACTGCTGCATCAGATGTGCCAGGGGTCTAGTTCAGCAGAACGCTGCTTATGTTCTTCTGTTCCTATAGCTTTTGGAATGGTAATGGAAACCTACCCCCACACCTCAAAAGGTCCTTTCACCTTTTACTCTGTTAATAAATTACCAGTTTCGACAAAGCATATTTGGAAAGGATCAAACAAAACAAACCTATTTCATCAACTCCAGGAAAAAAACATTTAATTGCCTTTTTGATCTGTCAAATATTTTCAGCTAAAATTCAGAAGAAATAGGAAATAGAAGAGGCAATCTGGTCTAGAGTTAAGGCACCAGGCTACAAACCAAGAGAGTAAGTTTCAGTGCTGCCTTAGTCCTGAAATCAGCTGAGTGACTTTGGGCCGTCATTCTCTCTCAGCCCACGACATCTGGCTTGAATGACAAGCCAGTCAAGACGATCCCTGTCATAACCAACGGATCCACATTCCATTGGGGGGTAGGGGAGAGTAAACCCTTCACTTGTAGAAAATGCTAGGAAGAAAAAAGATCAGAAGAAATTCTATTTATTTTCAAAAATTTGAACCTCTTCTTTCGTCTGTATTTTTAAATTTCAGGAAGAACTGTAACATTTTACAGATTGTGTATTTGCTACGCTGCCTGAAGAATAGGGAAAGCCGAAAAAGAAAAGAGAGAGAAAACACTATGTCAGTACTTTCTCAGTACAGTTCTTAATGTTATATTCCAATTTGCTCTCAGTTGCTCTTTTACAAGTTGTTATATGCTAAAAAGTGATGATGCATCAATATGAGGTAGTTGGAGTAATTGTAAAATTCCTTGAAATAGACCAAAAAAAATAGATTCCGCATAATGCAACTTTCCCACTGGGATTTTAATGTTTTGCATAGGCTCTCTGTGAATGATAGCCACGGATTTTATGACAATTATTTAACAAGGAGAACTCACATATATGTTACTCACCTCAATCTGTTGAACTGTTAAATCCAGGAATGTATTCTCATTTCGTACACCAATGAGACTTTTGGGGCCTTTACATCCCATACTGGTGCCCAAGCCACCATTGAGTTTCACCACAACTAACTTGTTCAAAACTGAAGCAATGCTATCAGGTATTCCTCTTGCTTTTATCTTCTCATACGGCTGTATCTGAAAGGAAAACAATGGTGATAAGCATGAATAATATCAAATAACTCTATACTCTTTACAGTATTTCATTGTAAAATAGAATTGAAAAATAAAGCATGCAGTTTTATTCCAAATTTAAAAAGATTTAAAGTTTGGTTTTGGCTACACAAGACAAAATTTTCATCCATACAGCACTGTAGAATTGTCTATATTGGTGAAAGCAATCCAAAGACTGATTGCTGTTCTTCCCAACTACTGTGTTTGGTTACTGTCTTAAAATACTCTCTCCCCATTTGAAGGCAACAAGTTTAGGTTAAGTGGTGAGTGGCTGCAGAAGTAAAACTAGGCAACCAAAACTGATGTAATAAATCTTATTACAAATATACATTGAATGCCAGAAAAGATGATGCTTTAGGGCAGGGGTCTCAAACCTTGGCAACTTTTAAGACTTGCGGACTTCAATTCCCAGAATTCCTCAGCCAGCTTTAGGGAACCTAATATATTTGTTGCTCCAATTCCAAGTCCTATTCCTGGACTGTTTTTTTTTTTAGAAGCCTCCTTTCACGACTCAAAGATAAGTGACAGATATAAGTGACATTTTCTTTTTAGGCAAATTCATATCCTGATACATCATGGCTGTTGGCTTTCATTTCTTCAAATCAAAACCTAATTCCTTTGTATGGCTTAGTGTGAACTTCTTCAAAATGGGTAAGTCAGAACATGATATTTAAAAAGCAATAAGATCCACAAGAAATTGGTAATTCACATCATGCTGCAACTTACAGAATCTTCTGGAGGTCTTTGGATCTTTCCCCAGTCTACTGATGGTCCTTTTTCTTCTAAGAATCTGTGAAAAAGCTTTTTAAATCCTTCCAGATCCTTTTTAGTGTGCTGAAAAAGGCAAATGAATCAGATTTTTAAAAAACTTCTATTAAACCTTATGCAAAACAGAGATATAAAATTATTGTAAAAGGTGAGGCAACACAACCAAAGCCATTTCTCTTTCATTTTTGAGAGGAAAAATGGAGCAAGACTACATGTTACGAGATTCTAAAAGTGTAGCCATCATTTTATATCCTTAGAAGAAGCAGGCAAACAAAACACAGAAAAGGAATTATCAAAGATATATTAATGCAAAGAAATCAATGTGTTTAGGATTCAATCCTTCCTTTCACAAAATTACAATGTAGAAGGCGGTAATTTTTAAACAGCTAAGAAAAAGGAAGGCATTCAAAGTTTAAAATATATTTTTGCATATGTATAATGCATGCATACATGTAATCAGCTTTTTTTTCTGAACCAGAATACAATATCATTAACAGCAGTTTCTATTTCTATGTCTTTGTTTTCATCATTTGCAAGTATTTCTGGAAACTGATGGTGTCACTGTAATGAGGAAAACTATCCTTTCCGGGTTAGATATGAATATTTTCAAATATATAACAATTTCTTGCATACATAAACAATTTGGATACCATTAAAAAAAACCAACATTGTTTCTTTTCTTTTTTTCTATTTCTCCCTCCCATTGCTATGCAAGACAAAGTGAATATGGAAGAATTTTCTTATCAATAGTTACGGCAATAACCATTGTAACTTTTTAGTATTTCACACATACACATGCTGAACCCTTTTGATACGCGCACACGCACATACACACACACACACTCCTTAAAATTCACTTGGTATAACTTTATTTATAAATAGTTTTTATGTATCTATTACTTCTTGCCCCTCTATTACATAACTCTCTGTTAGAGTTGTCATGCTTGCCAACTGCTTAGGATGTTTCACTGTGTAATAATCAAGAAGTATTAACAAAGGTGCTGAAGGCAAAACAGATAAGCACGGTCAGAAAGTATAGGTAAAAAACCATATTTTATTATGTATCAGCTAATCTATCCCAAAACAGAAAGAATGCACAGAAAACTACTTTCTAACGTACATTGTTTAATATTATTATATGTAGTCCTAATGGGACATTATGTTTAAGAACAAGAAGGCTCTTGAAGTGGCTGCACTTAAAATTCCTTTGTTTCCCTAAGAAATTCCAGAACGTTTGTCTAGATACTGTACTTATCCCATATATATCCACAAATTCTAAACATTACAAAAACAGGATCTACTCAAGAATACACTGCAATTTTGTTTTAGTCCCAACCTGTAGTTCATTTTGTGGTGCAGTTCCAAGTATTTTATCCAGTTCTGTTTTCATAGAATATTCCAATTCTTGCTTAATAGCTTCCTGGAATGGGGAGGTACCAGCCTGAGACATCGCTTTGCTAAAATCTTTAAAAAGAAACAGAGACAATTTTTATAGGCATATCATAGAGAGAACAAATGCTTAACAATGAAACATATTAAAACTGTACTTTATTTAAAAGCATTGTATACACTGCTCAAAAAAAATAAAGGGAACACTGAAACAACACAATGTAACTCCAAGTCAATCACACTTCTGTGAAATCAAACTGTCCACTTAGGTAGCAACACTGATTGGCAATCAATTTCACATGCTGTTGTGCAAATGGAATAGACAACAGGTGGAAAGCAGAGGCAGTTAGCAAGACATCCCCAATGAAGGAGTGGTTCTGCAGGTGGTGACCACAGACAACTTCTCAGGTCCTATGCTTTCTGGCTGATGGTTTGGTCACTTTTGAATGCTGGTGGTGCTTTCGCTCTAGTGGTAGCATGAGACGGAATCTACAACCCACACAAGTGGCTCCGGTAGTGCAGCTCATCCAGGATGGCACATCAATGTGAGCTGTGGCAAGAAGGTTTGCTGTGTCTGTCAGCGTACTGTCCAGACCATGGAGGTGCTACCAGGAGACAGGCCAGTACATCAGGAGACATGGAGGAGGCCTTAGGAGGGCAGCAACCCAGCATCAGGACCACTACCTCCCCCTTTGTGCAAGGAGGGACAGGAGGAGCATTGCCAGAGCCCTGCAAAATGACCTCCAGCGGGCCACAAATGAGCATGTGGGTGCTCAAACGGTCAGAAACAGACTCCATGAGGGTGGTATGAGGGCCTGACATCCACAGGTGGGGGTTGTGCTTACAGCCCAACACTGTGCAGGACGTTTGGCATTTGCCAGAGAACACCAAGATTGGCAAATTCGCCACTGGCGCCGTGCTCTTCACAGATCAAAGCAGGTTCACACTGAGCACATGTGACAGATGTGACAGGGTCTGGAGACGCCGTAGAGAACATTCTGCTGCCTGCAAGATCGTCCAGCATGACCCATTTGGCAGTGGGTCAGTAATGGTGTGGGGTGGCATTTCTTTAGGGGGCCACACAGCCCTCCATGTGCTTGCCAGAGGTAACCTGACTGCCATTAGGTACTGAGATGAGATCCTCAGACCTCTTGTGAGACCATATGCTCGTGCGGTTGGCCCTGGTTTCCCCCTAATGCACGACAATGCTAGACCTCATGTGGCTGGAGTGTGTCAGCAGTTCCTGCAAGACGAAGGCATTGATGCTATGGACTGGCCCGCCCGTTCCCCAGACCTGAATCCAATTGAGCACATCTGGGACATCATGTCTCGCTCCATCCACCAACGCCACGTTGCACCACAGACTGTCCAGGAGTTGGGGGATGCTTTAGTCCAGGTGTGGGAGAAGATCATCCGCCACCTCATCAGGAGCATGCCCAGGCATTGTAGGGAGGTCATACAGGCACGTGGAGGCCACACACACTACTGAGCCTCATTTTGACTTGTTTTAAGGACATTACATCAAAGTTGGATCAGCCTGTAGTGTTTTTTCCCACTTTAATTTTGAGTGTAACTCCAAATCCAGACCTCCATGGGTTGCTAAATTTGATTTCCATTGATGATTTTTGTGTGATTTTGTTGTCAGCACATTCAACTATGTAATGAACAAAGCATATAATAAGAATATTTCATTCATTCAGATCTAGGATGTCTTATTTTTGTGTTCTTTTTATTTTTTTGAGCAGTGTATTTATTTTGTACAATACTTTTACAGATGCAACATATTCTTGTATTTTGCTAGTCAACCAATGGACAAAATGAGGGTGCATTCCACTTTTGTGCTTGTTATTAGTCATGGGGGAAAAATCCCCAAATAATAGCTATTCTTTTTCTAAATCATTAGACTGTTCTGCAGTTGCACAGCTGAGCATTACTGATTTGCCAAGGATACAATCTTCCTTTCACAAAATTATGTCATACAAAAAAATGTAGAAACTTGGTGATAAACTCCAGTAATTTTTCTCTCCCTTAGTGTTTTCTGGTTCAAGGGTTCAGTTATTATTAAGCAACATGAAGTGAATTGCTGCATATTTCTTACCTGCATTTACAAAACTTCAATTTTAAGGCACTTATTTTACACATGCAAAAATAGCAGAGGAGGTATCCGTTATTAGGAGATTATATAAGTACAAGATTCTAGATGGGGGGGGGATCTGATAATCCTTCACCATTAAACAGAAAATTAGTCAAAATCAGCTGTCATATAGTACAGAAACAATCCAAAATATCAATCATCATCAATCAGCAGTAGCATTTTCTTTAATTTTTAAAAAAGTGTGTATGTTAAAGAAACGAAACATAGTGATTTGCTTTTCCCTAATGTACTGTAACATATCAACTCAAAACTACACAAGAAACATTTAGGTAACTAATTCTTCATAGTGAAAAAAATAAACCCTCCAGAACAGGGGTGTCAAACTCAAGGCATTCATCTCCATCCAATCACATAGAAAAATTATTTTCAAATGCAGTTGGCTCTATCTGGTTAAATGGTTATATAAAAGGAACTATACAGTCCACAATGAATATCCTAATCAAATTCTAAGATCACTCTAAAAATATTGCCAGTTATTGTGGGAATTAGGGTTAGGATTCTCAAAGCTAACAGGACAACAAGTAGGTATCAACCCTAAAGCAATTATATAAAATCACAGTAGTTATGTATCTTGGGTTATTATTTTACCTATTCAAGTCAGACTGTTGAAAAATGCACATATTGTAATTTGAAATTTACAAAACTGCTCAGAACACAATACTGGTACAATATTAAATTAACTGATTATATTTGTCAGATCCTACACTGTTGCAATTGGTTCAAGAACATACATTTTCCAGGATAATAACATAGTTATGTTTTCCAAATCTGGGAAGTTCACAATATACACATTACTTTTTCTTTTTATGCTTATTTTTTTAACGAAGCACTATTTTTTTTAGTTTTTTAAATAAGACTGAGTCAGACTGAACCAGCGGATTACTTTAAAATTATTTCAATAATTGATAGCATGAGAAAAAACTTTTGCATTAAAACTTTATAAAAACTAAAGTGTTGGATATAAATATCATTTTAACTTACCCAACATTATTTGTAACAAAAAGAAACTACAGGGAAGTACAGTACATATTGCTCACAGAGAACTTATTTTTTCTACACACATGTTCTGCTTTTTTTTTTTTAATTTTAAGACTATTCCAGTTCAGTATAAAAGCATTTCCAGGTTTTTCAATAATGGCCTAAAGCATTTTTAAGTTATTTGTAAATAGTTTTAACTAGCTTAACAATGTTCTTTAATGTTTATAAATAATATTTTTTTCTATTTCAATTCTGTCATATAGTTTGTACTAGCCATTTTCCTACTAAAATATTCAGTTCGCTCTTACAAGATACCATAATACATTTATTATAACAGAATGGAAGGCTACAGTGCTGAATTTTATGTCCTGAAAGCAAGCAGGAATAATGAAAAAAATCAGAGAACCTTTATGTAATTCAGGATACCATACCCGTCTATTTATAAATTTTTGGGGGCGGAGATGATATTTCTATTGAAGAGGTTTTTAAGTAATAAATTCCCAGTTTGCTTGTATATTGCCTAATTGTGTTATTTTTCTTTTGCTATGTTTTAGACCCAAGCATACACCTAACACAATCAGCATTATAATCATGTTTTATAATTTTAAACTGAATCTACTACTGGCAGCTAGGAAAGAAGAGAAGGGACATTAGAAAAAAAATTCATAGTAACATGAGTGGACTGTCATTTATAAAGAAACTTCAAACTTGGTAACAGAAAACTAGGCACGAATCTATGGATTTTGTATAGATGTGAAGAACAGTGATTTTCCACTGTATCTGACCAAAGTGAGAATAATTTGTTGCAAGAAGTAGCTGTTATATAGCTAAATACTTAATGTTAAACACTGTAGGAAAAGAATGTTAGTCTGCAGTATCCCAACATTAGGAATCTGACACCTTTTCAGACCAATAAATTTAATTAAAAGACATTAGCTTTCATGACTTGCAGCTTACTTCATCATACTCCAATGTATTTGATGGTTGCATCTGAAGACACTAAAATGTATTAGCCTAAAAAGAAGTGATCAGACTTCTACAATACAGTACTAATATCAACCTGTTGTGGCTTTGTTAAAAAGGCTAAAAAATGGTAGTATCTCAAAAGTTCTGTACCTAATGTTCTACATTAAAAATCCTCTGTTCCTTCACACAATTATAAATTCTTAGGTTTCTTCAAGTAGCACATATCCAAGTTAAACTTTCTTGGAAACTGATTGATAATGATAATATAAACAACACCATGGTTTATAACCAATGCTTCTTGTTTGCTAAGAAAAAAGTTACACTAATGTCTATGGAGATTCTCAGTCATCCAAGTCATGGTTGTCCCAAAGGGGCTTTTTCAAAAGGCAACTGGATTTTCTTTGTTTTTCCTTGAAGACATTCACTTCTTCAGTTCTTACACTGAACTAATGGAGTAGTACTTATACTAAGGGAATAAAGCCGTATTTTCCAGTCTTTGGAATCTGCTCCAGAGGTTTGATGGACCAACAAGAGAAGATGAAAAGTTATAAAAAAATACAAAAAGAACCTATCAAGAAGTGCTTTCCACAAAAGCTCCACTCACGTAACAATAGAGGTAGAGCGCCTTGTTATCAAAGTAGCACTTTCATTCAACAAGTTAATCTTCACAAAACAAAAGGCATATTTTATTAGTTCTCTATATATAACTCTGTGTGTGCCACAGTTAACACTGAAAGTGTAGGAATAATAAATGCTATGCAAATCTCTACCTACAACATTCTGCCACTTAAATCAGTTATTAAAACTAATAACTAGTTTTAAAAATAACAATAATTATTATACTAATTATATACTAATAATCAAAATTGAAACTTAATAAATATCAAGGCTGGAATAGTCAGACTGTTTTCAGATTGCAAAAATACAATTGCTTAATATTTTAACTGCATTGAGTGCATGGGTCACATGCTAATGAATCATCCTCATTATAATGTTCCTCATTATAAAGATAGATTTCTTCCCCAAGATGATGCCTTCCAGATTTGTTGGATTTCCGGCTCTCAAGATAGCTAGACATGATGGGCGTTGAACAATCTTTCCTGCTTCTGGGCTGCGAAAGGTTGATATCTTAGGCTTAAAAAGGTTTGGAAGCAGGTTTGCTATAGTCATACTTTAAAACTGTTAGGGGAAACACCTATAAAGTATATTATGTAAATCTATCCCAATTTAGAGAAGAAACATTTAAATTCAACTGCAGATGTCACAGTGAATACATTTAGTTTTGTTCCGGATAATGAAATGTCTTTTAATTTCATTATAAGTAGAACCAGCTTTTTTTCTTAGTAGCTACACAACAGATTTATGCCCCATTCTCACAAAAATAACTTTGGAAGTTACAACCACCTGATAAAACGATCTTAGAATGAGGTTTGTTTCAACAGTTTGCCTTCCCTACTGCTTTTGCCAACTGCATATCTCATTTCCAATGTAGCAATAAAACGATGACGCCCTCATTGCCCGAAAGGGTTAGCAAATGTAGTGAAGCAGGCAAGTAAAAAAGCTTGAACAAATCTGGGAAGACTTGCTTCATCACAGCTATTGCAAAAGTTAACATTGTACTCAATAAAATATCGTCTTTTAAAAACTACATCCTAGTTTTACACTCAGACAGTGGAGCTCAGGTACAACAAACAAGGTAAGAACTCTCTAACCATCCTACATTTAGTAACAAGCTCTTGAGAATAAAACAAAAGGAAAAGGACCAGACATTCCATTCCAAGAACTAACTTTGAAATAAATAATAAAGCTGTGAAACACAGAAAGATAAAAGATTTCTGTCTCTTTTAGAGATCCACATTCAGTCTGCTTTATCTATTTCTAGATCATAAGGAAAGAACTGGCACAGTTCGCACCACAGCTGAAACTCTGAAGATATTTCTAACAGTCAACTGGATAGCAAAGCAGTATGGCTCCAATCAAAAGTGCAAGATATTTTCATGCTTTTAGTGCCATTCTTTACCCTGAAATGAGGCATATAATATCAATATGAAATTGGACACGAGAGAATTATGCTACCTTGACTTTTTAGTTAAAATGAAATAAAATACCTTTCTACTGCTTTCAAATACAAATAAATTGTGAACAAAGAAACTACTTATTATACAACTCTGCCTTTCTCAAAGTCCATTTTGAACCTTGTTTTCCCACTAAGCAAAACTGTACGCTTCGTTGCATTAAACTTTTGTTTACATTCACACCTGTAAGAGAAGGAAATGAAACATCTACAGTATCTGCAAGTACTACAAGTACTGCAGTACTATGCTAATCAGCCTGGTTTATAGTCCCAGATTATTAAAAAAAAAACACAGCACAGGGTGATGCTTCTGACTCTATGGTGATTTTAAGTGTACCTTAAAGGAAAGGTATTGAATCACAATATGAGACGGGTAGGGGTGGGTGGGGGTGGATGGGGGGATAGAGAAAGAAAACAATGGTGAGGCTAGAGAAAGGAAAGCATACATCTAGTTTCACTCTAAAAATGTTTGGGTCAGACTGGGGACAGATAACCCAAAATTGGATTAAATGTGTATGCTGGACTTCAATTACCATAATCTTTTGCCATGATTCGTGCTAATTGGGACTGGTGGGAGCTGAAATCTGGTCACATCAAGTTCTATGTCACTGCTCTAAATTTTATTTAAATTATTAAGTAAGTAGGTAGAAAAACACATCTTCGCATATTAAAACTACAGAATCTATCTGGGGCCGAGGGATACCCAAGGAGGAGTGGGGAAAAGTATGTATCTAGAAGAGATGTAAGGAACATGACAAAGATCATAGCTGTATTTACAATATCTCATGGTAAAGAATCTGAAACTGGGATCCAGTAAGCTACTTTACATATAATTAGGTGGTACTACTATCCTTTTTCCTTGTTTTTATTTAAACAGATAGCGTGTCTGTTTGCTGTAGACTAGGACAGAATCCAAGTTCTCTTGGACAGGCTTTCAACAATATACTTCATTCTATTTTAATTGAATTCCATTTGAAATAGTTTTATTTCACCCATTTAAAATATATAGTTATAATCTACAGTATATGGATTTAGAAATTCTACCATGTACCTCCATAATTTGCTTTAGCAATTTATAAGAAATTAAAAATTTCCTGTTAATAATAGAAATACATGGACCATAAACTTTCAGGCCCATTACCTAAATACTCAAGCATTAAACCTGAATGCATTCATCTGGGGAAAAATCCAGCATATCTACTAGCTTTAAGTATTTTAGATTTATCTTTTTATTCGGTGTATATAAAAAAATAAAATTATTTCATATATACAACACTTTTTAGTTTTAACCTAACTAGAGTGGCCTAGATTTGCTAAGTGATAATGTGATTTTCTGGCAAAGCTTATCTTTGATAATGTGAAAAGCTTGGCCAAAGGATAGAAAGCTGTAGTGTAATAAATCCCTTTCCATGACCCCAATTCATCCTAAAACTGTATGCCAAAATTTGGGAGGCAAAAGAAGAACACCATTTTATTTCGCAGTAACAAAAGAAAAAAAAGCATGTAAGATATTGCATACATTTAAATGCATTAAAAAGAAAAAGAAAATCCAGTGACCTTCCACTAAAAATGCTAGATAGTACAAAAAAGTGCCTTGTTACATTCTGGCCACAAAAGTTTAAGCTTATATTAGCAGTTACTAATACTTAATCTGTTTACAACAACACGAATAACCTATGAATCTAGGAGAAATATAAAAAATAGCATCTACAACCAAGACTATCTTTTAAGTGAGGCATATTGTATTATAAAGCAGACACTTTTAGAAAACATAATGAAATCCATTTTTATACAAAATGGCCTCCTCCAGTATTGGACTTAAAAAATAGCAACACCAAATGCTAAAATACCATTTATTGGAATGGGGGGCTGTTTTTGTTTTGCTGTGCAGAATTCATTAGATCACTTTCAAGCAGTCTATTTTAAGGGTCAGTTATGTCTATGCTTTCCCTTTCGCTCAGTCGTTACAAAGATTCTGTATTTATAATCCACCAGGTATATTCACTCCACTGGGATATATAGTAGTACTCAGAACTAAACTGCCACCTGGTTTTCTGTATGTTGCCTAGTTGAAATAAGTTTACGCACTTTCCTTTCTAATACTGAAGGCTTCATATATTTGGTTTGAGGCATAAAACAGAGATGAGATTACTTCGGTGAAACAAGCACACTATTAAATTATTTCCTTGTCACAGCAATGCATCAGTCATCAAGCTAAAATGTTTGCTTGTGGGCAATTTCACAATACAGGGCTTTCAAACCACGTACACAGGCATGAACAGTCATAAAATACCTAGGAGAAATGGAGCTTTAATAACCACTTATGTCACCAATATGTTAACAGGAGGCCAGCTGATAAGCTACTCAGTACCTACCCTTCTTTAAATTACCAGACTGAGGGCAAGCAGCTCCAACTGCCTCAGTCTAGTTTTAGTCTTTTTTTAACATTTGAAGAAAACACAGATTCCCTTTCCCACACATTCTCTCTCTCTCTCTCTCACACACACACACACACACAATGGTAGACTGGCAGTGCTTTGCTATCACCTAAGCAACCCTCAAAACAAGAGAATTGCTGACTTAATCCAACTGATACCCCTTTTAAACACCCTCTGATTGTTACCATCCTACCTCAGTGGCTGCCTATGAGCCACAGCACAGCTCTATTTAAAAAACACACAGAGAGCCACAAACATTATGCAGTTTCTGGCACTACAGAACTTAACATGCTTACACTTACCTTTTGCAAATGATGACATTTTGTATCTTTATGAAAATAAACACTCTTCTTGTATAAATATAGAAAAATTAAGACACCACTTCCTTCAGAATATGCCAGAAAAGCTCAGAAAAATAAGAGCTTTATTTTCTTTTTAGTGACTTCTCTCCTGATGTAGCAGATTCTTCCCTCACTGTTATTCAAAATCTACATATCAACAGAATATTCTTTTAGAAAAAAATAAAAGTCCTAGTCATAGTCATCTTAGCTACCCACCCTCTAAAAAATGATTTTCATCAGGATTTTATCCCCAATTGTTCCCTGCTCTCTTCCTATACCTATCTTCAGAAATAAATGACCCCGAGAAACTGTCTTCAAGGTAAAAAACCTAAGGATTTAAATTTCATCAATGAAAGAGGAGGATCAAAAACTGTGCCTCACCACCACCCTTTTCTCCTCCCCTTTCTCCACCACGGAAACGCCCGGCTGCTGCAGAGATGAGAGTGGCTCACCCCACCCCACACCCCACAGCTCCTCCTTTCCTGGGAATTCACTGGTTTCCTTTAAAAGGCAGGGTTTCCTTAGGACCACCTACTCTTGCCTTCTCTCCCTCTCCCTGAGATGCTGGCTGCTTTCCTCAAGCAGTCTCTATAGGAAGAGAGGCTCCTTTCATTTTACAACTTCCAATTTTCATCTCCGAGGGGGGGAGGGGGGGTAGATCAGACTTGGACCCCTTTTCTTTTTTCTTGCTCTTAGCTTTAAAGAAGTGTTGGAATTTGTTCTGAGTTATACAAGCAATTTCTAAATTTGAAATATAAATAAAAGAAATTGGCTTTTGGTGTTTTGTTCTTCTCTTTTCTGCCTTGCTTCAGCTGCTTTTGAATGTTAGGGCTGCAATGCTATTCCTCATTGCTTCCATGGATTGAGTGGGTGTAATTTCTGATAAGCTTAAGGTAAGATCGTATGAATTTGTAAAAATGTTTAAGCATTTGTTTTGTTGCAGTGCTTAAGCTTTTCTTTCAAAGTTTTCAAAAAGATGGCCACTGTAGCAGACAGATCTGGAGCACTCTACAGAATACCCACTTTTGGCTCCATTTACTCACCATGCATGCTAAAATGCATTTGGCAATTTTGTCGATCACTCTACCTTGCAAGCACACTATTATGCGTTCTTCAGTTCCCAGAATAAAAGGGAAGGCATACCTCTCACCTTCCTAAAGCAATGACAGTGAGCAGGAGGAGCCCTTCAAGTGAAATTCGACTCCCAGGGTCTTCAAAAACAGTAGTTTTCCAATGCATCTTCTAGGTATGCACCCTCAACTCGCCAGAAGGCTTAGGATTTCCTGGAAGTCTCCAGTTCAAGTACCAATCAGAATTGTCCTGCTTATTTCTTTGGCTCAGGCAAGAGTCCCTTTGGAGTTGCAATGCTTTCAGAATAAGACAAAAAGGAATACAAGTCCTGTAAAGCCTTTGTTAGGCAGGGCTTCAACTACTCCCTCCACGAGCTAGAAAGAATTGGGGGGGGGGGGGGGGAAAAAATCTCTTTTTTTTTTTAGCACGCTTGCATGCTCTACGCCTCTATCAGCACCGTTTCCGATTTTCTATTTACCTCCCACCCCCAGGAAGCATTAGCAAGGCCCGGATGGGGAAAGAAAACGGAGGGAGGTTGGGTGTGGCGCCGGGGAAAGTTGAAAAAGCAACAAGAAGCCGGGGCCTAAAATCTGCCTCCATTAAATGAGAAACGCGAGGAATGGGAGAAAGCAGAAGAGAAGGATTTCGAGTTTTTAGAGAACGTTTCAGAGAAGGACGTGACTAACATCATGTCACCGCAGCGTTATTTTCCCCTCAGGCCGCTTTCCCATTTTTATCACCATCACCACCACCCCGCACCAGCTGCTTTGAAAACACTGGCGGTGGAGCGCGCCTTGGCGCGCACCATTCCCAGTTCCCGGTAAAAAAAAAAAAATCAAGGAGAGGCCTCCTCGAGGCAATCCCCATTTTAAGAGACAAAGCCAGGCAAGAGGGCCGCAGGAGCAGCTACTCCCCCACCCCCTCCTTTTCCAAACCAGCATAGATTACCCACCTATTTCCTCGGGCGGTGGGGTTGGGCCGGGGAGTGGGGCGGGGTTTGGGAGCTCAATTCTGGCAAAGTAAAGTGGTGGTGAGGTGGGGTGGGGGGCTTTTTGAAAGAAAAAAAAACCGGTGTATTTCACAACAGCTCTGGTCTGGTCTCTCCTCCCACTCACGTCAGGGCTCCAGCAGTGGGCCTCAAGGAGGGAGGAAAATCAGCCGCGGCTGCAGCAAATTTACACGACTTCCTTTTAACCTGCCAGCTTCAAGGCGGAGGGAACTAACACGGAAGCGCTGCATGAAACACAGGCGTCGTTGTTTGCCCTTAAAAGCGCAGCCGCCAATCGCACGGCGAGGAAGATGCCAGAGGAGGGTTACTGGGTAATTTGGTTGCTTTTGGCTCAGGCTTTTGGTTATAGTACCAAAAACGGCGATCTTTCCGTTGCAGCCGAGTGCTCGCAAAATGATAGGGACTCGATTGTGTTTCAGGCTACGAGGTGTTCACTGCGCCTTCATTTCCGGGAGCAGCGGCGATCTCCCGTTGAAGTGACTAAAGGACGAGAATTTGTGGGAAACACCCGCTAATGCTCTTAAAAATGTGGTGGTCTCGTTGTTTTGGACCGCTTTGGTCTCGACTCTGACTGGAGACACTGATATGTGCCCAATGAAGGCAATAAGAGTTCGCGTGCCCCATTGTGAATATCGGATTTTATTTATCTTTGTTACGTTGGCCGTGTTCACCCAACATGCTAAACTATAACTTAATTGTGGATTGGGACTAAGCCCCGTCTTAAACTGATTTCTCTTTTTTTAAAATAATTTTTTATTAAGTTTTCAAATTTTAAAAACATAAAATAAAACTTTATACATTGTTATCAACATCAAGACATCTTTTGCATCTCCTCACATTTTTCAGTATATGTATTTACTTACTCCTTTACCATGGCATCTTACTCTTGCTATAAATCAATATCTTTTATCCTTACATATCAATCTTCTTCATGGTATATTTACATATTCCCTCATTCTTTTCCTGATTGCCATTTTATTTTCTTTTTATTTCTAAACCATGCATACCAGGCCCTATAATACATTGAATCTTCTCTGTCTTTTATTTTTATTGTTAGCCTGTTCATCTCTATACAATCTATTATTTTTTATTTTGTATAGTGATGGACAGGCTTAAACTGATTTCTTAACCACATGACTGATACAATTATAGACTGTTTGGTAAGCTTTGATATAGTTTGTGGTTGTAAAATAATGAGTAAAATATAAATATGTGATTGATTTACATCCGATCTCTTGTTCAGCAAATTCATGGCACTTACCTTGTTTTTCCACAACTACATGAAATAAGATAGTTATAGTAAGAGAGTGGTTGGCCCAAACTCACTATATTTGCATTCTTGAAGGTAGACTAAATCTTGGATATTCCTGGGGCTTTTCCCATATTTAACCACTACTTCACAATAGTGGAACACAGCCATGAAAGCATTTACAATACTGAAAATTACTTTCAGATGTGACCTAAATAATCTTCTGCAGTTCTGTCTGAGAACAGTGGTCCACTCCACCGCTACCCCAGGTAGAAGAAGGCTGAGTTAAAACTTGAAAAGTTCGGGCATTTTTTTTTTAACAAAAAGCCTTCTCCCTTACATGAAAAACAGAGTGAATACAGCATAGAACATGTCAAACTCAGAGTTCCTTGCTTTAAAAAGCACAACTGCCTTCCTTGATAATTAACCATCATATCTCAGGTGCCAACAGAGATATGAAGGAACTCGGCTGAGGATTTATGTGTCAAGGTTTGCAGTCATTCAGGCATTTTGTTTGTTTATTAAATTTCTGTGCCACCCATCTCCCCTACAAGATGACTGGGTGGCTTTGTGCCAAACTGATAAAGGACATTGAAAGTCAAGAGCAGCTATAAATCATGACTATATTTAAAAGTCAAGATTTTGAACAGGGTCCAAGAGTTATCAGTGCAGCAATCTATTCTGTAGAAAGTTGACCTTTTTTAAAGGTCAATAAGCATTTTGTCCCAGCAGTATTTTGAAAATGTAATTGCCTAATCCATGCCATCAAAGAAACTAGGTACTGATTTTCAAAAGTGGTAATATCCAAAACAATACAAAGCACCTAGCAATAATTTTATCTCCGTGTCTTACAGAATCAACAGAAATTTGAAATGTGTTTATACATCAAATATTCAAAGTATACAAGAAATATTTAAGATACAAACAGAATTTGAAAATTCTGAAAAGGAAATAGTTAATATGAAAAAATAGCTTTTCCAGAATGACTAATGAAACAAATATGAAAGTTTGAAGGCAAAATATTTTGTGAATCAAAAAGAATCTGGAGTCAATGTGGGAATTACAAAACAGCAGAGAAGAAATATTCCTAGAGGGGTGGGCATTTATTGGTAGAGGAAGGATGTCAATATGATAATCCATGCTAAGGCCTGTTGAAGTAGTACTAGCAATAGGTAGTTCATTGATTAGTCTTACAACCATATCAAAAAAAGAAAATAAAAGAAAATACAGGATCTAATTCCAGCATAAAATAGGTTAAAAAAAATTGAAGAAGATGGAAATCAAAATGTTTTGCTTTTAAATTTTTATGCTTCTCTTTGTTATTTCCTATAAATAAACACATTCAGAAATACATACACATGTAAATTGATAGGTAAAGAGAAAAAAGCCAAAAAGAAGTGTGTAAAAAAAACCTTCCTTCATAAACCACCTGAATTTTGTAACCTAAAAGGGAGGGAGTGTTTGCAGACTAGATTCTGCCCATTTATGCATCCATAATTATTTCCTGCACTTTGCCTTTGGCAGTATATATATCCTACATTGCTCTTCACAATATTTTTATTTATTTAGTGGAATTATAAATAAATAATACTGTCTAAAAACCATTAATACTCTCAAATAACATTTCTATAACTGCAGTAGTATTTTTATGGAACTACAGCAGCCACTTTTATTATAGAGAATAAGAAACACAGTATTTTAAGGCTAGCAATGGCAATATCAAGATTCTAATCTTTTTATCATTTTCTGATACTGCTCCTTAAAAGAGGTCTTTATTTCTGATGCTGTCTAGTTCAAGTTTTATGTGATTTATTAAATAAGACATAGGTGAACATCATGAACTGCCTCACACTTAAAACACATGTGCATAGCACATTAAATATAGCTTAATTATAACAAGGAATGCCTAGACAATCCAATCACCATTGTTTATTTATCCACACCCATTTGGGGGGTATATCCAGAGGTGGTATTCAGCAGGTTCTGACCAGTTCTGGAGAACTGGTAGCAGAAATTTTGAGTAGTTCAAAGAACCAGAAAGTACCACCACTGGCTGACCCCGCCCCCATCTATTCTCTGCCTCCCAAATCCCAGCT